TGTGAAAGTCAGTGAGCTAATGCAAGGGAAATTTCTGATAGTTTTTAACATGCTATATTCTCTAAGAAAATGTCAACACATTCATTTTTTTTAATTACAGTTGTTTTCTAAGGAGAGTGAACCTGGTTAGAAAATACAATCTTCTTCTGTTTTTTGAGCTTATTGGTAGGTTTTAATAAGACATTGTGAACCAGGAGTGAAGTTTTATAGAGGAAGGAGAGAGGGAAGACCTGGTCCACCAGTGAGATAAATAATTCAGATTTTCCAGGTGTCATGTCTAAGGCTAAACTGAAGTCCACATATGGCAGTGAAGAAACAGTGAGACTGTGTAAGACTGGACACTGCCCAGTGTAAAGCAGCCAGGGGAAAGACATCCTTAGTGGAGTGGAAGATGGAGTGTGTTTAAGAACAAGAGTAATTAATATATCATATAACTTTTGTCTCTTTCTGTTTTATAAGCGTCTCCCAACACTCCTAGTCTCTTAGAGCCTCAATTCAGTTATATGGAAACAGGCTTTTCAAAATAATATTGGTATTTTCACATTTTTAGGAGATAAAGAAATGAGCCAGAGTTCACATCTGGGTTGGTAGTAAGTCGGATAGCAAGACCTCCATCTATGGTGGTGCAAGGTTATTAAACAATTAAACCACTTATCAGATGAAGTAGAATCAGAGCTAGGGAGACTGTATGAAGGGAGTCTACTTCCCTCCAGGCTTGTGAAGAATTCTGGAATTTCCTAAACCCTGAACGGATGTTGATTTGAAAATATCCAGGTTACTTTGTGTGTTACGAACCCTACTAGTATGTGGTTGAGGTATGTGTGTGCATGTGTGTGTGTCTATGTGTTCTTCTACTTAGAGATATTATAGAGACCATGAGAGACCACATATATGACTATATGTACGTGGGTGTGCACACATACACATATGTATATCTTGCCATGTTCCTTCTAGCATCTGGTATCCCCTCATGTCCAGCCTTTCCTGAATTGTTCTGCCTCTTGCCTGCCATATGTCCCCTACATTCTGTTCCTCCTTGTGTTTCAGTTCCTCATTGATTTTTTTTTCCACATTGGGTTCTACCCCTCTCCCTCAGGAATAATTGCCTCAGACCATGATGGGCTCCAATCTCTACTGGCTGATGGTTGAAGCCTGTGCAATAGGACCCTTGCTACATCTCCAGTTTAGAAATATTCTTCTTAAGCTATTTTCTCTACCTTGAATTTATCCTCCCTGTTAAACTTCCATGATTTAGTTCATGATCCATGCACTTGTAAAACTGTGCTATTCACAGTTCACTGTGATTCCCTGTATGAGTTTTTTTTTTTCTTCTTCTTCTCTCAAATCCACTTATAATAAACTCTCCTAGAATCCCCAGCTTGGGTCTTACATTTCTATATCCCTCATCAGCTCTAATATGCATTCAATGAATACTGAGTTTAAAAATGTACTTATTAATACTAGCATTAGCTTTACTTTGATTGTGACCTAAGCCATTATCATCAGAATTCTCACTCTGAGATATTCACATTATTATGTCCTAGACTTATCACACTACAGAAATCTGCTGGTGAATTATCTGGGTGTGGCTCATATTGTTTCAAAGAATGTAACCAATGTGAGTGTAGACAAGATATTGATTACTGGCTCACATAATCCTGAATTACATGATTCAGGAGCCCAGCTCATCCATTCCAAGTGTGATGAGACTTGGAAGCTATTTTGTCCATGCCCTAACTCCACAAAGAGAAACACCCAAAATATCAACCAATCTGTTTGGGCTTAGGTGACAAGATAGCAGCATGATGTAACACTGAAGTCGGGCACTAGATCTCAAGGGCTTGGGTATCATTTTAACATAAACAATATGCACTAGCAAAGGATGAGTTTTCTGAAAGCATATGTTTTGTTTCTTATGTTGTCAGGCTCTCATAGTCTCAGGAGATAGGAAGGAAGAATGCTGAGACCTAGTAAGAATTCAGACTCAGTGTCCCCAAGCCAGCAACTTCAAGTCTCTATAGTAGCAACAATATCAACACTCCAAAAGTACTAGACTATTTACCTAATTATTCCTTTATAAGTAGTTAGGTAAAATATTTTAAGCATGGCAAAAAATATTGACAAATATCACACATAGAAAAATAATCTGTATGGCAGAATGCACCATTTTTAAAAAAGATGGAAAAAATAACCATATTAGGAAAAACAAAACACACAGCCCAGTAGCAGAATTAAAATTTATAATAAACAGTAAGTTCTTACAATTTTATAGAAAATACATAAAACTATCTACAAAACATTCTACAAAACTATCTACAAAATCAATAGATTTTGAAATTTATTGCTTTATGTTTCTGCATACAAATAACCAAAGAATTACATATAAAACAAGGATGAATTTTCAGGGATGAGTTCTATTAGATTTATTCCTTTATACTGAACTGGAAAAGACTTGAAATGTATCACAAAACTCAGTATTGCTGAAGGTGATCGGAAATAGGTCTTGTGTTGTTGGAAATACAAATTATCATAATCATCTAGTTGAAAATTTGGTGAATTGTTATTCAACAAATAATTGTTGTATATACAAATTAAAATCTAAAATGAACATACTCTTTTATATAGCAATTGAGCTTCTAATAATGTAACCCAAGAGGAAAGAAAATATTTGATAAAGAAAATTCATATGCATAAGAATGATTACTACAAGAAATTAAAATAATAGTAAGAATTAGAAAAGTTGCAAGATATAAAATCAGAATACAGAATAAATTAGGTATAAATTTATCAGAAATAAATAATTCAAAATTATAAAAGTTGCTATTTAAAATAGCAAAAATTGGGACACCTGGGTGGCATACTTGGTTAAGCGTCCAACTTTGGTTCAGGTCATGATCTCACAGTTCACGAGTTAGAGCCCTGCGTCGGGCTCTGTGCTGACAGCTTGGAGCCTGAAGCCTGCTTCAGACTCTGTGTCTTCCTCTCTCTCTGCCCCTCCAGCACTCTCAAAATAAATAATATATTAAAATATTATAATTATTTATTATAATAATTATAATTATATGTGTAAAATAAATATATAATAAATATATAAATATAAAAAATCTCTCAAAAATAAATAAATATTAAAAAATAAAATAAAATTGCAAAAATTATAATGTCTAAAATATTATTGTAAAATATTTTTGATAAAATGAGGAAACTTTACTGAAAAGCATTGCAGAATAAATACCAAAATAGAGATATACCATATTCATGGATGGCTGGAAAGGAAAATTATTTTTTAAAAAAATTGACTATCCTTCATATATGAATGCATATACTTAGCGGTATTTCTATCAAAATTCTAAAGATATTTTGTTTTTCTTTATTTTCATTTGTAGTAAGTGGCAAGGTGCCTCGAAATTTTATACGATAGAGCAAAGCTCTAATAATCACCAAGACAATCTTAAGGTGGGGAACGAAGTTATACAACTTATGTGATATCACAATTGATTACACACCTATAGTAAATAAGGCAGCAGGATAGTGTCACTGGGATAAACAAATTGACAATGAAAAGAATGATCAGTCTAATTACAGAGCTATACAAATGTAGAAACTCAGCCATGACTGAGGAGGTATTTCAAATTAGGGGGGGAATAAAATATTTGATTATGATAGACAACTGATTATCCATTTGGAAAAAAAATGAAATAAATATCAAATGTACAAAAATTCCATTCCAAGTTAAAGAAAAACCTTAATTTTTAAGAGAAAATGAGTTTTTACAACTTTTTAAAGAAAACAGAAAAGAACAGATTTCTGAGCTTATCAATGGTTGAGATTTCTTAAAGTCATGAAACGTGCAAATAGCATTGTTAATGTTGCAGAGATAGAGCTATATTAAAAATAAAACACCTGCTCATCAAATGACACCTTTAAAAAGCAAACAAGAAAACAAATTATTGAGGAAAGATGTTCACAACTCATGTAATAATAGAGGATTAGCAACCAGAATATGTGAAGAACTTACAGATCCTAACAAAAAGAGACAGAAACAATGTTTTTTTTTAAAAAGAACAGATAATTCATAGAAAAAGAAACTAAAAGGACCAACAAGCATAGAAGGATGCTTGTTATCTTTACTAAGCAGGAAACACATATCAAAAAACAAGAGCACATGGATTCACAGGCATCAAATGGCAATCATTTAAGTTTAGCAACAATGTACAGAAAGAGTGATTCTTATAAACCATAAGTGGAAACAAATCGACAAGAACAAATCAGAGGATGTGTCTGATCTAAAATTCAACAGTTCCACTTACATCTGCTTAACTTGGAGACTCTCTCCAACAGATATCAAACACACACACACACACACACACACACACACACACACACACACACATCCCTATAGCTGCAATATTTATATGGCAAATAGCGCAAACAACCTGAGTGCCATTCCAAAAGAGACAGCATATCAGAATCATGCTGTACTCACAAGATAGATACTATAAGGTTGTAAAAATGAGTAAATGACAGCTACAGTTTCAATTGTAGAACAATTTCAATTCAAAGATCAATTTAAATAATTCACAAAAATAATGTTTAAAGAGAGCAAGTTACATTAAATGTGATGGTGTTTATAAAGTTGAAACCACACACAGTACAACATGTAATGTGTCAGGATTACCAATATGGAATAAAACATGAAGGAATATATTAAAAACCTGGCTTAAACCAAGTTAGATGTAGTCATTAAATTAACATTTGGGAGGAAAGAAAGGAAACTGGAGCTGGGGGGGGGGTGGGTTCCAAGAATGAGAGGCTAGAACCCTGAGTGGCAGATGATGGTAGGGATTCACACTCCATCCCCATTTCTAAGCAGCCCTATTCCTAGCTGGAAGCAGCTGCCCTGGGCCCCATGGAGAGGCAGGAAGGAGCTGCCAGTCACCACCTGTCACAGGACCATGTGGGTGGCAGGAGGCAGTCCCCTCATGCCCAGATCCTTTCTCACAGGCTGGGGCAGAGCCCAAGGCCAGGATAAAAGGGCCTTGGGGACTGAGGCCTTCCATACACTCCTCTCCTGAGGTGCTGACGGACCTTGTGCTGCCTGTGCACCGGTAAGTGTCCCCTGAGACAAGGAACAGCACCACCTTCCTTAGGAGGACTCCAGGGCAGAGTGTGTGCGCATGTGTGTATGAGTGTGTGGGTGTGTGTGCACACATGTGTGTGTGTGGTGGGTGGCAGTGAGAAGACTGTGAGACTGGGTTCATATCAGCATGGAAGGAGTCTCAGACACACTGAGGGACAGGCAAGGAGCAAGGCTGGGAACACGAGCAGGAGGAACTTCATGAGAGTGACAGCACTCTTAGAGAAACCACACTGACCCATAGTTATTGGTCTCTGGTTGGAATAATTTGCGACACTGACCATCATACCAACCTGTAACTGTTGTCAAAAGGGAAGTTTCTCTTTGAAAGCATAGGTGTCCCTCCAGGAAAAGTAGAGATAAGAACAGTGACACTCAGCCAGCAGAGAGGAAACCACAACTGACTGTAAGTGCTCAGACTAACTGGGCTGCAGAGTTGAGTAGGAACAACTCAAATCTTGGTGCTGAGGTGTTACTTTGAGATGAGTGTCCACAAGATGCCAGAGAAGCAGACTCAGTCAGGGCCTGGTGCAGTCCCAGCTTAGAATAACCATAGTTACCCTCAGCCAGTTCTCCCAGCCAATCTCCAACATTCTGTGCATTTGTAAACTTCTATGTCCATACAGGACAAGAATATTTAGAATATTCTCCAAGAGGGAATGACTGTTTCCCCTAAAGAAATGAATTCATTTATAAACTGCTACCTAGATTAATTGTTTCAATGATTATTGTGGTTTATGTCAGTAGAATATCTCCCCTAAATACTACATGTTTGATTCTGAGAACTTAACATCTTTGCCTAATTTCTCTACTTATATAATAGGTTAAAACACTTTGTTAGGAAATTAGGTTCAAGGAGATGATATGAGAGCATTTGGACAACTATGAGAAATAATGAGATTTTCTGTGTTGAATTATTAAGGACTACATTAAATAGTTCATCAAATAAAGGCTCTAGAAATGTACTAAGAATAGGAGGTGGTGGGGCAGGGGGTCTCTGTGTCCTGGGTCTGACTGTGTGACTCTCCCTCAGCTCCTGTCCCTGCCTGCCGAGATGTCCTGCCAGAAGAACCAGCAGCAGTGCCAGCCCCCTCCCAAATGCCTCCCCAAGTGTCCCCCCAAGTGTCCCCCAGTCTCTTCCTGCTGCAGTGTCAGCTCTGGGGGCTGCTGTGGCTCCAGCTCTGGGGGCGGGGGCTGTTGTAGCTCCGGGGGTGGTGGCTGCTGTAGCTCTGGGGGTGGTGGCTGCTGTCTGAGCCACCACAGGAGACGCAGGTCCCACCGCCACAGGCACCAGAACTCTGACTGCTGCAGCCAGCCCTTGGGGGGCTCCAACTGCTGTGGAGGGAGCAGTCAGTCATCTGGAGGCTGCTGCTGAAGTGGATTCTGAGCCAAGAAAAGCAGATTTGGGGGCAGCCAATGCCAAATCCTTCCTCCTGCTCCTGCTCCTCCTGCTGGGCCTATCCATGTGGCTGAGGGGGTCTGACCTCTGGCCCAGAGGATCGCTGTGTCCTGGTGTCCGGAAGCCAGAACTTCCCCGAACCCATTCACTCACCTTCTCGCCCAAATGTGTGGCTGCCCTGGGAACCCAGAGTACAGACCCAACGTCCTTCTTCTGCTTACCTTGTGGCAAACCCAGCTTAATGGGAAACAATAAAACTAGAACTCTTCGTTCCTTCTTTTGCCTTGTTTCTTTTTATACTTATGTCGTCCTTCTCCTATGTGCCCTCACTCCTTCCCCTGAGTGTCTACAGAACTTACTCAGATTTGCCATTTGTATCACTACTGTCCTTAAGAGCAAAACAAATTTCTGTTGGCTCAGAATCCAATCCAGGAGCCAACATTGCCTCTAGCTACTGTGATTCCTTAGTTTCCTCCTATCTGTGGCAGTCCTTTAGGCTTTCTTTGTCTTCCATGTACTGACACTTTTTGAGCCATTGGTAGAACAACTCTCCATTCACATTCATCTGATATTTCTTCTTGACTAGATTTGGTTTTGCATTTTTCAGAGATTCCACAGAAGTGGTGCTGTGTCCTTCTCTGAAACTGGTTCGTAAGGTCTCTAATTGCCCTATTCTGGTAATATAACTTGACCACTTAGATGACTTTGGCTGAGTTTCTTCATTATATACTCACTAATTCTCCTTTTTCTGTTTTTCTTTTTATTTCTTTTTTTTAGAGAGAGAGAGAGAGAGAGTACATGTGGGGGAGAGGGGCAGACAGAGAAGGAGAGAGACAGACAGAGAGAGACAGAATCCCAAGCAGGCTCCATGCTCAGCACTGAGCCCAAGGCCGGGCTCAATCCCACAAGCCCAGGATCATGACCTGAGCCAAAATCAAGAGTTGGATGCCCAGCTGACTGATTTCCTTTTAATCAATAAAAGGTGTCCACTACTTTCCCTTTTTTTTAAATATGAAATTTATTGTCAAATTGGTTTCCATACAACACCCAGTGCTCATCCCAAAAGGTGCCCTCCTCAACACCCATCACCCACCCTCCCCTCCCTCCCACCCCCCATCAACCCTCAGTTTGTTCTGTTTTTAAGAGTCTCTTATGCTTTGGCTCTCTCCCTCTCTAACCTATTTTTTTTTTCTTTTCTTCTTCCCCTCCCCCATGGACTTCTGTTAAGTTTCTCAGGATCCACATAAGAGTAAAAACATATGGTATCTGTCTTTCTCTGTGTGACCTATTTCACTTAGCATAACACTCTCCAGTCCCATCCACATTGCTACAAAAGACAATATGTCATTATTTCTCATTGCCACATAGTATTCCATTGTGTACATAAACCACAATGTCTTTATCCATTCGTCAGTTGATGGACATTTAGGCTCTTTCAATAATTTGTCTATTGTTGAAAGTGCTCCATAAACATTGGGGTACAAGTGCCCCTATGCACCAGCACTCCTGTATCCCTTGGGTAAATTCCTAGCAGTGCTATTGCTGGGTCATAGGGTAGATCTATTTTTAATTTTTTGAGGAACCTCCACACTGTTTTCCAGAGTGGCTGCACCAATTTGCATTCCCACCAACACGGTTGGGGGAACCCACCAAGAGGGTTACCATTTCTCCACGTCCTCTCCAGCATCTATAGTTTCCTGGTTTGTTCATTTTAGCCACTCTGCCTGGCGTGAGGTGATATCTGAGTGTGGTTTTAGTTTGTATTTCCCTGATGAGGAGCAAGGCTGAGCATCTTTTCATGTGCCTGTTGGTCATCTAAATGTCTTCTTTAGAGAAGTGTCTTTTCATGTTTTCTGCCCATTTCTTCACTGGATTCTTTGTTTTTTGGGTGTGGAGTTTGATGAGCTCTTTATAGATTTTGGATACTAGCCCTTTGTCCGATATGTCATTTGCAAATATCATTTCCTATTCCGTTGGTTGCCTTTTAGTTTTGTTGATTGTTTGCTTTGCTGTGCAGAAGCTTTTTATCTTGATGATGTCCCAATAGTTCATTTTTGCTCTTAATTCCCTTGCCCTTGGGGATGTGTCAAGTAAGAAATTGCTGTGGCTGAGGTCAGAGAGGTTTTTTTCCTGCTTTCTCCTCTAGGGTTTTGATGGTTTCCTGTCTCACATTCAGGTCCTTCATCCATTTTGAGTTTGTTTTTGTGAAAGGTGTAAGAAAGTGGTCTAGTTTCATCCTTCTGCATGTTGCTGTCCAGTTCTCCCAGCACCATTTGTTAAAGAGACTGTCTTTTTTCCATTGGATATTCTTTCCTGCTTTGTCAAAGTTTAGTTGGCCATCCTTTTGTGGGTCTAGTTCTGGGGTTTCTATTCTATTCCATTGGTCTATGTGTCTGTTTTTGTGCCAATACCATGCTGTCTTGATGATCACAGCTTTGTAGTAGAGGCTAAAGTCTGGGAATGTGATGCCTCCTGCTTTGGTCTTCTTCTTCAAAATTACTTTGGCTATTCGGGGCCTTTTGTGGTTCCATACAAATTTTAGGATTGCTTGTTCTAGTTTTGAGAAGAATGCTGGTGCAATTTTGATTGAGATTGCATTGAATGTGTAAATAGCTTTGGGTACTATTGACATTTTAACAATATTTATTCTTCCAATCAATGAGCACGGAATGTCTTTCCATTTCTTTATATCTTCTTCAATTACCTTCATAAACTTTCTATAGTTTTCAGCATACAAATCTTTTATATCTTTGGTTAGGTTTATTCTTAGGTATTTTATGCTTCTTGGTGCAATTGTGAATGGGATCAGTTTCTTTATTTGTCTTTCTGTTGCTTCATTATTAGTGTATAAGAATGCAACTGATTTGTGTACATTGATTTTGTATCCTGCAACTTTGCTAAATTAATGTATCAGTTCTAGCAGACTTTTGGTGGAGTCTATCGGATTTTCCATGTATAATATCATGTCATCTGCAAAAAGTGAAAGCTTAAGCTCATCATTGCCAATTTTGATGCCTTTGATTTCCTTTTGTTGTCTGATTGCTGATGCTAGAACTTCCAGCACTATGTTAAACACCAGCGGTGAGAGTGGACATCCCTGTCGTGTTCCTGATCTCAGGGAAAAAGCTCTCAGTTTTTCCCCGTTGAGGATGATGTTAGCTGTGGGCTTTTCATAAATGGCTTTTATGACCTTTAAGTATGTTCCTTCTATCCCGACTTTCTCAAGGGTTTTTATTAAGAAAGGGTGCTGGATTTTGTCAAAGGCCTTTTCTGCATCGATTGACAGGATCATATGGTTCTTCTCTTTTTTTTTTTTTTTATTAATGTGATGTATCACATTGATTGATTTGCGAATGTTGAACCAGCCCTGCATCCCAGGAATGAATCCCACTTGATCATAGTGAATAATTCTTTTCATATGCTGTTGAATTTGATTTGCTAGTATCTTATTGAGAATTTTTGCACCCATTTTCATCAGGGGTTTTGGCCTGTAGTTCTCTTTTTTTACTGGGTCTCTGTCTGGTTTAGGAATCAAAGTAATGCTGGCTTCACAGAATGAGTCTGGAAGTTTAACTTTCCTTTCTATTTTTTGGAATAGCTTGAGAAGGATATGTATTATTTCTGCTTTAAATGTCTGGTAGAATTCCCCTGGGAAGCCATCTGATCCTGCACTCTTATTTGTTGGGAGATTTTTGATAACGGATTCAATTTCTTTGCTGGTTATGGGTCTGTTCAAGCTTTCTATTTCTTCCTGTTTGAGTTTTGGAAGTGTGTGGGTACTTAGGAATTTGTCCATTTCTTCCAGGTTGTCCAGTTTGTTGGCATATAATTTTTCATAGTATTCCCTGATAATTGCTTATATCTCTGAGGGATTGGTTGTAATGATTCCATTTTCATTCATGATTTTATCTATTTGGGTCTTCTCCCTTTTCTTTTTGAGAAGCCTGGCTAGAGGTTTATCAATTTTGTTTACTTTTTCACAAAACCAACTCTTGGTTTCATTGATCTGCTCTATAGTTTTTTTAGATTCTATATTGTTTATTTCTGCTCTGATCTTTATTATTTCTCTTCTTCTGGTGGGTTTGGGGTGTCTTTGCTGTTCTGCTTCTATTTCCTTTAGGTGTGCTGTTCAATTTTGTATTTGGGATTTTTCTTATTTCTTGAGATAGGCCTGGATTGCAATGTATTTTCCTTTCAGGACTGCCTTCACTGCAACCCAAAGCATTTGGATTGTTGTGTTTTCATTTTCATTTGTTTCCACGTATTTTTAAATTTCTTCTCTAATTGCCTGGTTGACCCATTCATTCTTTAGTAGGGTGTTCTTTAACCTCCATGCTTTTGGAGGTTTTCCAGACTTTTCCTGTGGTTGATTTCAAGCTTCATAGCATTGTGGTCTGAAAGTATGCATGGTATGATCTCAATTCTTGTATACTTATGAAGGGCTGTTTTGTGACCCAGTATGTGATCTGTCTTGGAGAATGTTCCATGTGCACTGGAGAAGAAAGTATATTCTTTTGCTTTGGGATGCAGAGTTCTAAATATATCTGTCAAGTCCATCCGACCCAATGTATCATTCAGGGCCCTTGTTTCTTTATTGACCATGTGTCTAGATGATCTATCCATTGCTATAAGTGGGGTTATAAAGTCCCCTGCAATTACCACATTCTTATCAATAAGGTGGCTTATGTTTATGAGTAATTGTTTTATATATTTGGGCGCTCCGGTATTCGGTGCATAGACATTTATAATTGTTAGCTCTTCCTGATGGATAGACCCTGTAGTTATTATATAATGCCCTTCTTCATCTCTTGTTACAGCCTTTAATTTGAAGTCAGTTTGTCTGATATAAGTATGGTTACTCCAGCTTTCTTTTGACTTCCAGTAGCATGATAGATAGTTCTCCATCCCCTCACTTTCAATCTGAAAGTTTCCTCAGGTCTAAAATGAGTCTCTTGTAGACAACAAATAGATGGGTCTTGTTTTTTTATCCATTCTGATACTCTATGTCTTTTGGTTGGAGCATGTAGTCCATTTACATTCAGTGTTATTATAGAAAGATATGGGTTTAGAGTCATTGTGATGTCTGTAGGTTTCATGCTTGTAGTGATGTCTCTGGTACTTTGTGTCACAGGATCCCCCTTAGGATCTCTTGTAGGGCTGGTTTAGTTGTGACGAATTCCTTCAGTTTTTGTGTGTTTGGGAAAACCTTTATCTCTCCTTCTATTCTGAATGACAGATTTTCTGGATAAAGGATTCTCGGCTGCATATTTTTTCTGT